CATTTCCTGCTCATGTCAAACTGTTCGCGTGCAGACTCAAGAAGCGGCGACGTTTAGACTCTTCGAGTACCAGACGCTTGTTTATAACATTTATATCCAAAGTATAAATCGTTTATTCGTGTAATATATAACGTTACTTCTCCCGATTCGTCGCAGGTCCCGTGAACGCGGATATGAAATTCAAAGTCTTCAGGATATGTTGCGTGATACATTTCGCATTACGTTCCTATATAATTGTCGGAATTCTTTACGTCGCAACTCGTTGGACACCGTTAATTAAGTTTATTAAATAAACAAGCAAATTTAGTCACCTTTCTCAACATGGAAGATTCATTCATACAGATCGATCGAGATTCGAGACACGCACACTTCTTTCGCGACACCCTGTATGTATAGGTGGCTGTACGCTGTACTTCGGTTAGACTCGGAAACATTCGGACGCTCGACAGCACAAGCACACGGACGTGGTTGTCGCTTTGATGTGTGTGATGTGTGTTGCTAGCATGTGGATGTGTTACCAGCGCATTAAGAGCATGGCGCATCGATAAGCAGCCGTAGGCCGTATAGGTTGAGTGTATTACTGCGTGCGATCCTTGCTCTAGGGCGGAGTGGCGGAGAGCAGTTGATAAGCCAAACACGGCAGTTGACGAGGCCAGCCAGCGTGTACTGTGAAACTCTTTTTCCAGAAGGCTTTATTGAAACCATTGAAACCAACGGTACTCATTCAAGATGAAGAAGAAGGTAAACATTTTCTCTTTATATTACTAAAACGCATGGAATTGCATTCTTTCTTCTCTCGCATAAGTTTTATTTCGTATGGAAATCACTTCTTTGTCCTGCGAGGCAATTTTATGAATAACGTGCTCCAATTTAGGTGCTGTTAATGGGCAAGAGTGGGTCCGGGAAGACAAGTATGCGAAGCATTATCTTCGCCAACTACATCGCTCGCGATACCCATCGTCTAGGAGCGACAAGTAAGCTACGTATATTACGGTAAATAGTCGCCGAAAGAGGGACTAATGCAACGCAATTTATTACAGTTGACGTAGAACACTCCCACGTTCGTTTTCTCGGCAATCTGGTCCTGAACTTGTGGGATTGCGGAGGGCAAGAGGCATTCATGGAGAATTATTTCGCGTCGCAACGCGACAACATATTCAGAAATGTGGAGGTGTTAATATATGTCTTTGACGTTGAGTCGAGAGAATTGGACAAAGATATGCATTATTATCAGAGCTGCTTAGAGGCGATACTGCAGAATAGTCCGGAGGCGAAGATATTTTGCCTGGTTCACAAAATGGATCTCGTGCAGGAGGACCAGCGCGACTACATTTTCCGGGAAAGAGAGGAAGATCTGAAAAGACTGAGCTTGCCTTTAGAGTGCACCTGCTTCAGAACGAGCATATGGGACGAAACGTTATACAGGTATGTATCGAATAAAAGTACAATTAAAGCGGACAAGTGCTATTAAACCCTCATTAAATTGTTATTGCAGGGCATGGTCGTCCATTGTATATATGCTGATCCCCAATGTGAAGGAACTTGAACAAAGCTTGAATCAGTTTGCTAATATTATCGACGCGGACGAAGTTCTTCTGTTTGAAAGAGCGACCTTCCTAGTAATAAGTCATTGCCAGCGACAGTTTCACAGAGACGTTCATCGCTTCGAGAAGGTTTCCAACATAATAAAGCAATTCAAACTGAGTTGTAGGTAAGTACGAGTCACGAGGAAAAGTAACAGGTCTAAGGTCTGTATTAGACTATGGATTGAAATTTGACCAGTTAGAGCAAAGTTCACTAAACTTGAGGTTAGTTTTCTTTATTCCGATTGATTAAATTTTAATCCAATCTCTCAATCCCAATCCATAGTCTGATACAGGCTTAACAAGAACGAGATGAGACATTTTGTGTTGACTTTGCAGCAAGTTGGCGGCGCAGTTTCAAAGTATGGAAGTTAGAAACACCAATTTCGCGGCCTTCATCGATATATTTACCTCAAATACATACGTGATGGTCATCATGTCCGATCCAACTATACGTGAGTATCTGAATTTTTCCACGTTGCATGAAACCTGAAAATGCCAATGAAAACGTTGAAACGTGGCGGTCTTCTTTCAGCATCCGCGGCGACATTAATCAATATACGCAACGCGCGGAAGCACTTCGAAAAGTTGGAGCGTGCCAGCCAGAGCTCGGCGTTGAGCAGATAGAAGTCGGCGCGACCCAGGCGCATCGTCACCCGGGTCCATTCTGTTAACAATTGCTGAATTTTCTGGAATCGTATCGTTAATAAAGCGCAATCGTGGGAAAAGATACGATTGTCGACGAGATCGGGAGTCACAAAGTATATACAATCCGTGGCTTTCAACGTGAGCGTTTTTATGACAAAACAAGTATATAATCGACGTGTCCGAAAGAGGCTGACGGTTATCGCTGCATTTCAGGCCGTATATTAGGACTGTATCAATATAAATTCATTCCACATGTTACTTGCGGATGTAATATGGTCATAATGCATCTGCGATTTATCGACGTAGAACAGTTCCCGTTTATGCGCGATATTCTCGCTTCATTTGGAATCGGGTTTTTTTTTTACATTTTCGATTAAAGGATCATTCGCGATTCGAATCATGTTGCAATAATATCCAACGAATGTTAGATAAATTATCGTAAACATATGTCTTTCTTCTGTATCTGCATGCGTCACGATGGATGACTGAACGTCCACTTGAGAGCTTCTGTTCTCGAAAATGATTCACGACGGTAGAGAAGCTTATCCGATGAAGATAACAGATACGTATAACCGCTCTTAATTATGTGTTCACTTGTTAGCTTTTACTACTGAGGATTGTTCTCAAATATAAAAGGAGCTGTCGAGTGGATGTGCAGCCTATGTTGCATCGTGCTATGGTTGTAAAGTCGATAAATGGTTAACGTCAATTTCGTAGAGAAGGATTGTACGGTGTATTTGTATGTTTACATCCTTAAACGCAAGGTTTACATACGAGATGTAACGAAACTATGATGTATTTTTTAAATGTGCAAATAAATTATAACCACGAATAGGCTTGTTATAGGCTCATACTTTTTCTACGTCGAATAATATAGTTATTTAAAGTTATTAGAATTGATAGAAATAGTCTCGATGAAATAGATTCTAAAAGTAAAATGGATTTATATTGGAAACCCCCTGGTTTTAAATTTTTTTAAATATAGGTTGTACATACTCATTCAAACTTTTTTTTTTTAGTTTTTAGTGTATTTTATGAAGTCGAAGAAGTTTGAATTAAAGAAAAAAAGATTCGGCGTTTGTTCCTATCATAGATCAGAGGGAAATTAAATTTCCCGCCGTCAGTTACCAAATGGCGGAATAGTGTGCTGTCCTCACGTTCGGAAAACGAGTTTCTTGCGATTTATTCCACAGTTATCGCTCGATTGTCGCGATGGACAGAATACTCAAGGGGATCATGAAGTACAGGAAGTGCCATCGGGAAGGAATGGTGAAGCAATTTCAACAAGTCAAAGACCATCCCGAGGTACGTTCCATACTACGTTAAAAGAAAAAAATCTCGCGTGATGATTCTTTCGATATATATAGGTACAGACAGGTATCTCTCGCGCTGCCACGCCGAGTCCACGTGCGTTTTGTTGATACCACCCCTATACATCAGGTGACAGCGGGCTGTCAAAAACAAACTTGCAACTCCGTTTATTTAATACAATTAATACGACTTGGTTAATAATAATAATAATAATATCATTCGTTTTAAATGCAGTGGCCCGTGTTATGACCTCGAACCATCGATTGACCAATAGTTGATTAAAGTACGCGTATCTAATGATGGCATGGCACTTGCCGCACTTGCTTTATTGACGGTGTTTCGCCAGGGAAAAATTCATGTTCTGCTTTTACTGGTAGAGTACCTTACGTAGATTAGATATCGACAAACAGGATATTTACCTTATGCTGTTATGTCAGGGAAATATTGGTAGCTTTATTGATAATACTGTAATTTAGATATCAGGCAGAACATCTATCTTACTGACTATGGAATATATTTTGAATATTAATTATAGTAGGTTTTGTTTTTATCAGTAGAGTATGCTCGTTTGATTAGGATGTCAAAGAATATTTGCCGATATTACTAAAAGTGCACTAAAACTGCGACTGTGAAATATAGTTAAGAGAGGCTATAATTTAAGTCAGTTAAAGAAAAAAATCGGATAAAGAATTTTCAAGACAAAAAGCCAGAAAGCCCCCTGACTAAAAAAGCTACTTCCTATACCCTGAAAATTGACAAGCTGTTTCTTGTCTTGAAAATTTTTTATCCAAATTTTTAATTTTATTTTTTTGGTGCATGATTAAAAGTATATTATTAACATCACATAAATGATTGAAGAAATAATTAGGTACTTATCTAGACCTAAAATGTTACTACAATATAATTTTGCAATGATTTCGTAATTCATTATAAATATTTATAATTTGTTTCTTTTATTTTATAGTATCTTTATATTTAATTTATGTATAATTCTTTAATTGACTCAAATAGCCCCTCCTTCCTCCATGTATATGTATGTATAACATTCAATTTATATCATATACACCTCCCCAAACAGCACGCATGTCTAAAAAAGACGTCTTAGATATTTTTTAAACGTCTTCTAGATTCCCTACTGTTTTAGATTCCCTCCTCTTGACAATATAAAGAACAAATTCTAAAAAACTTCAGAAGAGATGTCTTTGTATTTCATATACTTTGAACATCTTAATAAATCTAATATTTTCATCTATAATAGATTAAATCTTATAAATTCTCTAAATATTTTTATAAATAAATTCATAAATTATCTAAAATTTAAGTGGGCACTTAAAATGGGACTAGTCGGATATATACATATATAGTATTATACATAAAAAAAATGTATCTAAAGACTTTCGCCCTATGCCGTATATTATATAGTATTGTTAGCACAGCTTGTAATTTGATGTCTGTTACTCCTATCACAGCCAAAGGCAGTGTTCTTTACCTGCATGGACTCCCGGATGATCCCAACTAGATTTACGGAAACGAACGTTGGAGACATGTTTGTCGGTACGATCTATTATAGTTGCATTATCGCGTAACCCCTTGTTGCTTCTTTAATTTTTCTGATCTCATCGCAGTGCATTTTTTCCCTTTTTCTAATAAGTACGCTTCTTACAACATCAGATCCTCTAACGAGAGAACGAGTACAACATTCATTCGATGCAATAATCTCAATTGTGTACATATGATTATTCTTATTTATCAAAATTTTATTTCAATCAGGAGAACCACGAGAACCAATTTATTCAAATTAGTATCTTCTTTTCTAAATTTAATTTTTTGTTTGTTACATGTATATATTTTTATACATATATTATATTTTGTATCTCCTTTATATGCATACATATATATATTTGTAATAAAATGATTCTAAAGATACTGTTCTTAGCATAACGATTTTTGTAAGGATTTTTGTGCTTTTCGGGATATTTTTTTTTACTGGATGTGGGGTATCCGAATTTCTCAATTCATCCATCACTCATGGAAGGAACGAAAGAGCCGAAGAAGGAGCAACGTGTATCGGACGGCCTAACAGAGTTTACCTATTTCAGTCCGAAACCCCGGTAATGTCGTGCCGCACTCGCAGCACTTCGTGGACGAATTTACCATGTGCGAATCGGCGGCGTTGGAGCTGGGATGCGTGGTGAACGACATAAGGCACGTTATAGTTTGCGGCCACAGCGATTGCAAGGCGATGAATCTGCTCTACGCTCTACGGGACGAGGAGTTCGCGTCGCAAGTGCGTTCCCCGATTCGTCCGCGATAAACTTTCTTTCTTTTTCTTTTCTCGCGTCTCGCGAGCGATAACGCCGTCCGAATTTCAGACCAACAGGAGAATGTCGCCGCTGAGAGCGTGGCTGTGCGCGCACGCCAGCAGCAGCCTGGCGAAGTTTCAGCATCTCGAGGTAGCCGGTTTCCGCGAGCCGATCCTCTTCCAGGCCGAGACGCCGCTGCGAAAATTCGTCGCTTACATCGATCCGGAGGACAAGTTTGCCATCGAGGACAAACTGTCGCAAGTCAGTACACGGTCGAGCGAGACGCCACGCCGCCGCGCCGGTCGTCTGTCTCGTTGACACTCGAGGAAACTTGTCTTGTTGCAGATCAACACGTTGCAGCAGCTCCAGAACATCGCGTCGTACGGGTTCCTGAAGAAACGCCTGGAGAGGCACGATCTGCACATCCACGCGCTGTGGTTCGACATTTACACCGGCGACATTTATTACTTTAGCCGAGCCAACAAGAGATTCGTGGAGATAAATGAAACGACGGAGCCGCTCTTGCTTAAGGAAATTAAGAAATACTACTCGTAAAAATCTTTTTTTTCCAGATAATTCGGACATTATTTATAATCCAACGCTAAAATTATATTACCAGAGCTATGCGAGTTAAATCGCGTAAAGTAATCGTATATTTTTATATATTAAACTTCCAGGGGCTTATTATACACTTTATATACTCTTGAGAAGACTCGCTAATGATAATAATCTGAATCTTTATCGCTTATTATTATTTCAAAGTGCACAATACGTTGCGCTTTGTTGGGATCATCGAACTTCAGATGCAGTTCGAGTTTAGCACAAAATACATTCTTCACCAAACTCATTGTATAATTATATGTCTATTTTTTATATATATATACATATAATATATATCTATTTATAATATAAAATATATTGAATTATGATATATACTGATTGATATTTGCTGTGTGGCGAAATATAAAGATATTCGTGTAACGGAGTAAAGTGAACTTTGCTACGTGTCCCTTCGCTTGTCCCTTCCTCCCGATTTTATGGTATACGCTCGCCAGTTCGGCTCGATTGGATTGAGAAAAGAATCAAAGTCTCAAGCCGACAAAAGATAGTCCACCGATAGATGGACGGACCGCTCCGGACGAACTAGAGCATGCCAGTTCTGAAAGAGAAAGCAAAACAACGAAAGAAGTCGCAGAAATCAGAGTTGCGGAGCGTCGTATCGGCGTCAGGATCCTCCTCTAGACGATTTTTAGGAAGTCTTTAAAATTCTAAATAAATGTGATATAAAGTTCTAATGTGCTCTCTTTATATTTGCGAGATTAAATTTGAACTTATATCGGATTTTTTTTAATCAATCTGTGTGAACGTCTATAAAGCTTTAGGTATTATCAAGTCTACATTTCTAACAACACCGAGAGATGCGACACCATTGGCGCCGTTAGCTATAAATATTTTGGGGGGTACTTTGGAAACTAAATAAATAAATAATTAAATACATAAAAAATAAAAAAAGTACCTAACAATTTAAAATTTAACTTGTTTTAGAGATTTACACAAGAAATTAGATTGTTTTAATGTCGTACAAATGTAGAAAGAAATTGAAAAGGAGACACTGTCGCATTACGAATTATATGACAAATACACTCTCTTTCCCTCTTCTCCTTTTTTTTAAGATTTACGGAATTATTAGAAAATTAGTAGTCTAAGTTTGACGTAAACGCTTGAAGAACCAAAATTGCTTTTGCATTTATTTTCCCTGTTTGCCGTAAGACAGGTATACTGGTGAAATAATCCAAGTGCCGTAAAACGCGTGCGTGGATGCGAGATCGCGAGTCCCGAGTTTTTGCGGCCCCCGGCTACGTAAGCACGCGTGAAAAACGGGTGTGTGTGCGCGCGCGCGCGCGTAGTTCGCACTTTTCCGTCCGTCACGCGGTAAAAGTGAAGAGAAGTTCCCCCCAGTTTCCAACGGAATCGTCCAGTTAGGCCGGTTAGGACGTGGCGACTGAAGAAAGAGATTCCGGAAGAACCGGAACTCGTGTATATGCGGTCTCTTTGTTGGCACGTTTCGGGCCCGGAACGTTATTTTGAGATTCCACTTATCGACGAACGAAAGATCGCCGCGGGTTATCGTTGTTAATATACTGCGACAAGTGCTCTGGCAAGTGCCGCTTAGGTCAGTGCATCAAAATAGACCCGCCACGGTCGCATTGTGCGGCCGAAAATCATTGTGTAATTTAGGTAGCCTTACCTGTTTGACCTACCTGTTTGACCTACCTGTAGGTCATCAAAGAATGCGCTCTCTGTATCTTAGGACTGTCCGACGGATGTAATAGCATTGACACGGATGACAATTTTAAGTAAGAATATTTCCCACCAAGACGATTCAGTAGCAAAGTTCTTTTAGCTTATGTTGTTCTTTTTGGAAGAAGTTAGAGTGAGACAAAATATATTCTTGTTTCTTACTCGTAACATATTGCAGTTTAAGAGGTTCTTCGAAAAAGAACAAATTTTTTTGGTTTCAAAACTATAGGGAAAAAAGATGCAACGGCTTTCGGCACCTTTGAGCTCAAGTGGCTTCTGACGGTAGCCATAAATTAATAATTTTCCATTTGTTACAAATGACAAATAACACTATTTTATGAAATTGATCGAACAATTCTTTAGAATAATTTGACAAAGGTTTCTGATGTAAAAAGGAAAAAAGACAATAGAACAGACACGTAACGAAAAGAATTTTTATAATTTATGTGTACCAAAGAATAAAAAAGAAAAAATTTATTTCAAAAATAACAAGTTCTTGATTAACCTTTGGTAAGTTTCAAAGCACTCGGCAATTTCGTCAGTCACCTCTTAAACTAACGTAAATGATATATTCAATAATATGTGCAATATATATGCAGGGTGTTTTCAAAGTAAGTATGAAAAAATTGAAAGAGATATCCTGCGGCTTATTTTAGAAAGAAAATTCTTACAAACATATGCCCTAAACTGCTTCGTTTTCAAAATACAGTGTCAAAGTTGTGAAAAAATATGAAAATTTCGAAAATGTAGGAAACATTTAAACCTGTTTTATTTAAATTTAATATTTGTTCATGTAAGAACCGTGCATTAAGAACTATTTTCTCCAGTAATGATATTAATCAGTATTGATACACATGATTGTATTTTCAATTTTTAATTTCAATTTTTTTACTTTATCTCGAAAGCGGCGCATTATTAAAAAAAAAAAACACTAGAGCTAGTTTTTGTAGAGTTTTAGTTCGAAAATTAAAAAAAAAGAGCTAAAAATTGTTAAACTTGAAAAGAACAGTGGCGTATACCATTTTCTTATAAAAAAAGCTTAATATGATTACTCATACGTACACCCCTGGTAGATCTTAAAATGTTTCATAAGTACTGGAAAATAGTTCTTAATACCACATGTACGCATACTAAATTTGAATAAAATATCTTTAAACGTTTTCCAGATTTCTGAAATTTTCATTTTTTTTTCACAACTTTGACATCTTGTATTTTGAAAACAAAGCAGTTTAGGATTTAGCATTTAGTGCATATGTTTATATGATCTTTTCTTCTTAAAATAAGCCATAGAATATCCCCTTCAATTTTTTTATATTTACTTAAGAAACACTACTGTATAAGATAAAGGAATTCAATGTCGATTAGAAGTTTTGAATCATTTACACAATAATTCTAATTCGTTTGTAATTATAAAGTGCAAAAATGAGTTGAATTTGTCGATTATTCTAAAAGGGTCTCTCTACATCGTTTATTTTTGAATAAAATATCTAATAGCTTTTTTTTGGAAAGATTTTAAAATATCGCCGCTTCATCCCTGTGGAGCTGTGCAGTAATAGAGTCATTCCTTCGTCCCGGATTGTCGAGCGGCGCGGTCGTTTTCCCGATGAAATTATAATATTTTATCGACGAAAACGGATAAGAGGATAAGAGAACGATGTCACGATTTTGCACGATCTCTTTTTTCCTCGCGTTACACTCGCCCGAGAAAAAAGAGTGCGCGGCCAGTGGTGCGTGCCGAAGCATAACGCGCTCCGCACTCCGCAGCCGCCGCCGCCGCGCGGTGGCATTACCACTTCGTTACGCTCGTATCTTTCCGAAACTTTATGCCTGTGTCATGGCGTTATTCCGTCGTGGCGATGGAAAATAGTCGGACGTGCAATATAATTACTCACGTAATTAATTAGCGGGCAGAATACTTCGGTAGGTCGTTTAATGTCCGTCCTGCGTTACGTGAAAGGTGCAATGCGAAAGATGTATATGTAATAAGAGCGATAAATAGAGTCGGACAATCCGTTTGGATTTTTGCAAACTCGCGCAAAAACTGACCAAGCTGCATAAAAACAATTTTAAGCTAAGCAAAATTAAATTCACAAATACTTATATGCGCTGAAAAATAATTACACTCTTTGTTTAAGTTTGTAGAAGTAAATAACATTTAATGTGCCAAATTCTATAATTCTTCAATTTAATTTGATATTCCTGTAAGCGATAAATACGACATGGTGCATTTTGACTAAATATTCAAGTCAAGTCTTTTCGCAGATCTTCTTAGTAAAAGATTTTCTGGCGATGTATAGAATCGAAGGAAACTAATAATATATGGCGATTATGGCGTGTTGGCAAAATTGGTCGTAAGAATTTCTTCCTGGCCCACCGCGCGAAATCCTTACGTGCCGCGTGTTTGTTTTCACGCCTGAGTAAAAGTGAGTTCCACTGTAGACAGTAGCTTGTTACGCATGCATATGCGATGCACACATCTTTGCAAAAGACAAGGAAACACATAATCACGCCTCCAATAAAAATTATAAGATCGACGATTTGTCTTGCACCACGATATTTCTTACTTCGTTATTTTCGCTTCTTAAATTGATCTCCGATCGATCCGAAGAACGAAAAAGTGCGACCTCTGAATATAATAAAATCGGACTAAACTCGCCTTTCACTTTTGACCAAATATTCCGCGGCGAGAATTATTTTTCATCTTGGTTAATCGTTCGTAAAAATTTCACTGGCTAGTAAGCGCGCGTGTGGTCTTCTAAGTGAAAGGATACGTATTCGACGTATGCGACCCGCACACACGTGCTTCTTTAATTTTTGACGTTAGGTATTCCAAGGTTTCAGATTAAATTTCCGTTAAGGTCTACGTGAAATTAACGAGCTCCTCGCTGCCTCCGCAACTTAATCTGCCAGGTAGTTTCCGACGTTTTCGATCGCGTTTTTCGGCCGAATTTAGGTCGAGGAAGTCACGAACGCTGTACGTTTGACACGATTTTCTCTGTTCGCCGGTCGAATGTCAAGGTGTAGAGGCCCGACATACAGGCCCCGCGTGGCTGACCCCTGCCGCTTGTAAATACCCGAAATCCCAAGTGAGACAGTTAGAATGTCGTAACATTGTAACTGTATAATTCTGGCGCAACGTGACGAATACGAAGCGGCCCTTCTCGAGTTCGTCATTATAAGAATGTCTTTCATTTTAGTTCTATCATTGCTTTCTTGAAGGGATAAAGATTTCTGGTAACTGCTTTCATTCCTAAAACCAAATCATTGGATCTTGTACCTGTAATGCAATTATTTTTTATTCTGAAAAACTTCTGAGGAGTACTGTTAAAACTAACATAATTAAATTCATAATTTTTTGGAGATTGTCTGAATGCAGTGATGACGACATTTGAAATGTAATGTACAAAAATAATATAAAGAACATATATATTTTATATAAATATTTTAACCCTATAGGTTACTGTCCTTGATGGGACCGGAAAATTCATGCAGAAATATGATTTTTTTCTGGTTATATAAAAATTCTTCTTTAAGCCTTTTTTTATAACTTCTTTCCTATTTATGGCTAGGTTAGGTTTCTAAATAAAACTTATGGTTC